CCCCTCAAATTGATGCCTAGGAATAAGCATCAGTTTGTCCATGAGAAATAGATGTCGAGCCCGAGTCATTGCTTTAGTCAACAAGTCTGTTAGTTGGAGCCTGGAGGAGACACGAGGAAGAGATATGGTACCCTCAAGAAGGAGATCACGGATGAAGTGGCAATCAACATCTATGTGTTTGGTGCGCTCATGGAAGACGGGGTTGGAAGCAATTTTAATTGCACTGACATTGTCTGCATAGAGAGGAACAGATGATGGTGGTTCATGAAGTATTTCAAATAGAGGAGCCCGAAGTTATAGGGATGTCACTACACACGGATGACATAGCCTTGTATTCAGCTTCAGTAGAAGATTTGGACACAATAGCTTGTTTCTTGCACTTCCACAAGATAAGAGAGTTGCCTAAGAATACACACCAACCAGTAGTGGATCGTCGAGTGTCAAGGCAACCAGCCCAATCAGCATCCGCATAAGCCATAAGGCTAATAAAGGATGAGAAAGAGAAGAATATCCCATGTGATAGGGTGCCTCGCACATATCTAATGATCCGATGAACTGTAGATAAATGAGGTTGTCTTGGAGAAGACACAAACCGGCTCACTATCTAAACTAGATATATCTGGCCGAGTCACTAAGATAGGATCTTCAAGGAGAGAACCATCATCTTTGTTGAGTTTCAAGTTCAGTTCTAGTGGGCTATCCACAATCTTAGAGTCACTAAGATTTGCCAGTTTGACGGGATCAGTCGCATACTTTTGTTGGTTAACAAAGTAGCCCTGAGAGTTTCTACTCACTTCAAGTCCCAAGAAATATGTCAAAGGCCCCAACTCCTTCATCTTAAAGGACTCATTGAGTAATTGTTGTAGCCTAGCAATTCCTTCTATATCATCTCCTATAATGAGAATGTCATCGACATAGAGGAGTAATATCGTTACTCCCTACTTCCGCCTTAAGATAAATAAAGAATAATCAGAAGAACTCTTGATAAAGCCAGCATTAGTGATGACAGATCTGAACTTCTCAAGCCAGGCCCTAGGAGCTTGCTTCAGGCCATAAAGTGACTTCTTCAAATGACAAACAAGTTGTAGGTCTGTACAATATCCAGGAAGGGGCTTCATATAAACTCTCTTTCAACTAGGGGTGATCATGGGTCGGGCCTGGGCTTGGCTTTGCTTTCATAACAACGGCTTATGCTAGGCCTGGGCCTCGCTCGCCCCGCATTATGGGCCTAAAAATATAAGTTCGGGCCCGGACCAGGCCAGGCCAAGATTATGGGCCTAATTATTGTATTTCAGTTCCAAAATTAAACAATTGTATTTTTTTTTTCACTTATTGTCTTGGAGACTATAGTAACCTATAAGAAAATTTAAACTTAATATCAAGATAAAAGCTTCTAACATAAAAGAAATTAAATAATTATACCTTGTAATTTATAAGTTTCAATTGGTCATTAGTATGCTAAAAATGATAATTTTAACAAACCAATTCTTCTATCAACAAAAAATCAACCTAGAACCTATGATATCTATCAAAAAATAACCATCCATTGTTATGTAATATCCACAAAACAACTTTAAACATCTCTATAAGGGGCTCCATCTTTCATTCAACTCATATAAATAAAAAGTGAAATAAAAAAGATATTAGCAAACTATGAAAAATAGTTAAAATTAAAATAAGTAATAAAACATTGAGAACAGTTTCAATTTTACCCAAAACTTGCAACCACTCTAAACTTCAGATTTATCTTCATCAATGGAGTCTTCATCACTAGAAGATGCGTCTTTTGGTAAGAGAGGGAGAGTTGGGCGTGACGGTGGTTTTGTGAAATTGGTGAGAGAGAGCCGAGAAGATTAGGATTTAATACTTTCTTTTTAGTAATTTCTATATTTCATTAAATACTAGATTAGAATTTGGTAAGATCTAAGACCGTAGGATTGAAATCTTTAATCTCCTACAATTCTCTATTAATTTCTATTTAATATATTAAACATTCAGGTTGGGCCTAAAAAATTAGGCCCAATCCCGGCCCTAAATTTTGCGGGCTTGATGCAGGCCCTGGTCGGGCCTTAACAAAAAACCTAGGCCCAAGCTCGGATTTTCTAGGCCAGGCTGAAATGATCACCCCTACTTTCAACTCCCCATGGAGAAAAGCATTCTTGACATCCATCTGATGGATTGTCCACTGTTTGGCTGCAGATATATCCATCAGAAGTTGTAAAGTGGTCATGTGGTCATCTTAGCTACAGGAGCAACGGTCTCCTCATAGTCTATCCCATATTCCTATTTGTAGCCTTGTGCAACCAACCTAGCTTTGTATTTGTCTAGGCTCCCATCAGATTTTAGTTTCATAGAGTAGACCCATCGACTTCCTATGAGAGATGTCTTAGGTGGAGCTTTGACCAAGTCCCAAGTGTTATTCGTAAGAAGGGCTCAAATCTTAGAATCCATGGCATCTTTCCAGTGTGGTTCTATTATGGCCTGTTGGTAAGATTTGTGAATGTATGTGGTAGATAAAACAGCGGAAAAAGATCTATGATTTGGTGAAAAACCATAACAGTCAGGTGGGCGAGAAATTCTACTAGAACGGTGTAGAGTGGGAATAGTAGGTTCAGGGGGATTACTGAGGTAGCTGGAGTGACTGGATCAGCAACTGGTAGTGGAGTAGAAGGGGCATTGAGACTGAAGAAGGTCGTTGCTTCCTGAAGTAGGTTTGAAGTTGTTGCGGAGGTGACAAAGGAATGTATGAGGTACCTGTATTATCAAAACCATGCAACAAGGAAATAGGAGTTGGGAATTTTACAATATGTTCAAAGGACACACTTTCAAGAAAAACTACGTTACGAGAGATTCTAATACGACGAATCGAAGGATCATAGCAAAGGAACCCTCTATGTTCCGAACTGTACCCCATAAAGGCACACAAAGCTGCTTGTGTAGTTAACTTCGTGCATTCATGAGGTGGGAGACAACATGCTTGAACTTCTTACACTCATAGCACTGTACTTTAGAGTTCCTTCCCCTTTGGTTTTGTTGCTAGTAAGACAGTATCAATGTTGGACTCTTTTCTTCCATCCAGAGTAGTCTGTATGGCAAATATGGTTTCAACCCTCAGAATTTCCTCAAGAATAGTATCCAATTCAAGAAGTGTTCCTCGGCTTAGGATATTAGATCTGACAACTTCAAACTCAGGCCTGAGATGCATTAGGAAGTGCATAATCTTCCTTCTATCAAAATGTTCCTTCGTATACTTCACACAACATTCCGATGGATCCTTTCCCATGTGTACAAGCTCATACTTTGTCCAAAGGTTAATAAACCTAGCATAATATTCCTGGACCTTCCTTTCTCCTTGATAATATGAGATGTCAACCTCTATCTGGTACTATCTCGAGGTGTTTGATTGTTGATATACTTTCTCGAGATACTCATACATCTCATAGGCAGTCCTGTATCCTCTCATAGGAATTACAATATCAGTTTCAACCGATCCTAGGATCCATGATGCGATTTTTCGCATTGCCAATTCTCCACTGATTAAGACCCTTAATGTCTGAATCATTAGGTTTAACTACAGATCCATCCAGATATCCCCAGAGACCTTTTGCCTCCACATGAAATTGAAAATTAAAATTCCGAAGTGCATAGTCCGTACGTTTGATAAAAAAAGTGCATAGTTCGTACCATTAAACTTAATAGGGAGAACTTCCATCCTTTCTGATGCCATTGAATCACAAGGGCAAGAAAACCACACTTCTAAACAAAGAGTAGGGTTCAAAACAGAGGAAAGAAAGAGGTACCTTTCAGCCGATGTCCAGAAAAGGAAACTGTAAGGGTCGGCCGAACTCACAAGTGGCTCAAAACCCTTCTAAATCAAATCTGATTCAAACCAAACCAATTAGAGTCGGTAGATCTGCTCTGGGCGACACTAGATCCAAAGTTTCAGCCTGATCTGATGCCTCTGGAGGGAGATCCAACAAAAAAGAGATATCTGATGGCGCAACAGTCCAGGAAAAGTGTCCGTAGAGTTCTGATCGAATGCAGCCTCAGATAAGGGATCCAAAAGCACTCGAGAGCCTCGCGAATACAGATCAGATCGTGACCTGCTCTGATACCATGTCAGAGTCAGATCGAAAAGTCAGAGAGAGAGAAAACACAGCCGATTGGTGGGTGTGACACAATGTGTCAGTTGACACCCTAAAAGATATATTTATATTAAAAAGATAAAAAGGACAAATATGCCCTTAGTGTACAAAAGAAATAGAGTACAAAGAATAGCTATACAACAAATAAAAGTACAAAAATAGTCCTGCTGCTGCGTCAAGAGGAAGGGGATGAGGGTAATATTGGGTTTTAAAAAAATTTAAATGTCACGGTAATATTGGGTTCTAACAACGGGTAGATCTAGTCAATTGTCAGAAACAGTAGGGGTGGTTTAAGACAATAGTTAAACAGCAAGGGTACAATTTGTCAATTAGCTAAACAGTTGGGGTAGTTTAAGAAATTTGCCCTTTACCCTAATATTTATAGCTCATCTTTAATTATATAGAGAATGACGTAACTGCCCCTCACTGGGCAGCAGCAGAAATAAGAGGGAAAAGAACATAACAGTAGGTCGAATCCCACTCAATTGAGTACTTAATCAGGAAGATTGAGTACCTGCTTGGGGAGCTAGATGAAACTGTCAATTGGGTGCAAACATCAGCCAATAGTTTGGCATGTTCCATCCCAAACAATAGTGAACAGGGCATGACTGTTTTGGGGGAACATACCACAATAATATACTTGGCTAACCCAACATATCTTTCCATCCTATTATATAATTATTCTCTTATTCATATTAATAAAGTTCCAACAGTTAACAATCTGAAAAAACAATCTTAATACTCTCTTCTTTTCTGTCTACTTAACTCATGACCTTGTCTTCTTAATATTTAATGTCATTTTATGAATGCTTTTACCTACTGTTTATACTGATTCCCTTCTTTTCGTTATTTCAGTTCTGTTCCAGGAATGTTTAAGATAATCCGGCCTGCTGTTGGGGAGGCATTAAGGTATTAAAGGAAGTTAGATAATGATGCATCAAAACTTTTGTTTTTAATTTTCTTTATGTTTCAACTGATATAATGACTTATTCCAGGGAAATGCCTTTAACAGAGCTACAAAGCAAGTACAGAAAAATTTCATCATTAGAGAAGGCCTGTAAAGGTTGGCAAGATGAATATGAAGTTTCCTCTAAACAGGTAGATCCTTAATGACCTCTACCCATTCAGGCTTTATTTATTCTTAATGATTAGTGGAGCTCTTCCTTGAGCTATAAGTTTGATAATGACATATCAGGTCCTAACTTTTTCTTTTTCTTTTATATGTGCTATTTGTTCATCAGAGCTTAATTAATTTAGAATTTTCAGTTCATAAGCAATATTTTAAAAGTATCAGTGGCTTGTGCCAGAATGCAATGGACTTTGTGCCTCATTTATTTGATCTTTTGCACTGCATTCTTTATTATTATGAAATGACCATGTCTGATGTTTGTCCTCTCCTGCCGATTTCTTCCCATGAGGTCAGATAAACTATTTCTTATGGAGGCTGGTTTCTGTAATGTTCTCACAAGTAGAAAGGTGAATTTCATTGTTTGGCGTATCAGATTTCATTGCTTGATGCAATGGAAAATGTACCCCCTTCTATGCAGCTAGAAGATGCATAGTGTAGGTTTCTCAGTGGGAAATTTGGGGAAAATCTTGGATGAGCTACAAGCCTAGAGTACGAAAAAGGTTCTCAAAAGCCAAGCAAAAAATTCCATTCAAAGATAAACAGAATGTTTTCATAGCATCTACTTGTAAGAAAAATAAGAGATTAAAAATTGAACTTATCTAATCATCTAAATACTCAATTTCATTATTCAATAAAAGCAATATAATATTCAATATCTAATCATCTGGATTTTTAATGCTACTTTGATGCCCCCACAAACAAAGTTCAAAATTTCGGTACAATATGCCCCATATCGTGCGTATCGTATCATATTGTTAGCTTTCTAAAACCCCAAATAAGGGGTGTTTCAGAATTTCAGCACTTTCGCGGGGTTGGCAAGCCTAAAACCAATCCCCTGAAACATTTTTGAAAAAAAAAAACTAAAAAAAGTTATAAAGTATCAAAACACCCCATACGTAAATTCATGTGTATCAGGCGTATCAATACTTTAAACCATGCCCACAAATTAATGTTTCAAAAGAACATCTGTGTAGATATAACCAAATTGCAAAGATAATTTTCTATTAGAGTTTATTGTACTTAAAATGGTCAATTATCATTTTTTTATCAGCAAAAATTTATTGAAATAATTACTTAGAAAAGAGGTAACAGTACAGTTTGATGACCGTAAAGTCATCCCAAGTAAGTTTGCTAGGTTACATAGAAGCCCAAAACAACTGTTGCCTTTCCACTCCTTGTTTAGCAAGGTAATCAGCTAACCCATTTGCACACCTTCTTACCCACTTGAAATCAGAATTTACATCTCTTGCAAGCCTTTCAACTTCCCTGTAAGCATTCTTGAGAGTCCAAGGGATATGTTTATTACATCTCACCCAAGAAATAACTACTTTTGAATCCCCTTCCACCTCCATCTGTCTGAAACCCAGCTGCTTTGCCAACCAAAGACCATGAAGAAGAGCCAACAATTCAGCTTTCACAGAATTATCTGCTCCAAGTGGACCTGAATAAATAGCTAATATCTTGCCCTTGGAATTTCTGATTACCCCACCAATTCCTGCCATACCTGGGTTGCATAAGGAAATTCCATCAAAGTTCAACTTTAATTTGCTGCCTTGTGGGGGTTTCCACTGCAATCGAATTCTTTCTTTCTCTATATGACTGCGCTACCACCTTCCATGCCCTTAGGATATCATTAGTTGTGAAGTTCTGATAATGGTCAATTGTCAAGTTTACATTGTCTAAAATGGAAGAGGCCTTGTTGCTGATATTGGTTGCTCAATATTGAAAAGTATTCCTTTTTTATATTCCCTTCATTTAATCATTTCTGGTCCTATCCTTTCTATTTTTTCCTTATATACAACTTACATTTTCCATCATTTAAATCTCTTTCAACCTCACCTGTAGTGCATGCATGGCCCCAAATGCAAGCTTGGAAACTTCTGTACAGTTGGAAGGAGACTACAGGAAGTAAATGTATTGGGTGGTCTAATTGTTCCTGTTTGGGGGACTATTGAGAAGGCCCTTTCTAAGCAGGTATCTGATTCAACCTACTACTTTATTAATAATTCTCAGCACTTTGCTTTATTGCTTTTCTACTATATGAATAAATAATGTAGTACCTGAAAATTAAGACACCTTTTATCTTCTCAATTTCTTGACTCATCAGCAAGAATTGCATAATTGATAATAGCAAAAATTGAGCTAGTAATTGGCACCTGAGTTTGCTCCTCTTCTGCATGTAGCGGTGATTATTTCTAGCCCAGTCCAGCTAACGTAGGGGCTGGTTGATAGGAGGCAAAGTTGATGTGTTACTTACTACACATAGGAGGCAATTAACAAGTATGAAAACATCTTGACTCTCATTGTAGGGATTGTACTTGTTCTGGAACATCATCACCGCCTTGCTGGTCCAAAATATTCCTTGTTTGCTAAAAAAGCAAATACCATCTCTTGTTCTTCTGGCTCATGCTCAAATTTAGATCTTGGAAAACATACCATATTCTCCCCCTTTTCCAAGTTCTTGTTCACCTTTCAAAGCATCAAATAATGGTTGGTTCATCAACCTAGGACCATAAGAACTTCATAGAGAATAATCAGCATCCTCTACCTCTTATTCATTAGGAACTTTAGCAGAATAAAATCCTTTGTAATCAATAATCACCCGCTCCCAGTTTATCTTTCTAACTTTACCAGAAAAAGGATGTTTGCCCTTCATTTTCTTCCTTTTCTGCAATTAACACATGCACATTCTATTCTCTATTATCTTTGCTGCAATGAAAAATAATATAGGCTCCATCTCTCATCACATCATATTTATGTTTTTCTTTTCTACTCTTTTATTTAGACATACATTTCTTTGTATATATGTCTTGCATTAACAGAATAGAGATCTGTCCCTTTATTTTTTCACAGGCAATGTAATGTGGTTCTAACTCTACTTATAATGTTTGATTCTTTTACAGTAGATCATGTCTAATGTGTTGTGATATCTACAAATAGCTACTTTTAATTCTTCATAATTCATAAAAAATAGAGAACTGAGCTAAAGACAACGAGATGTTTTTATATAAAAACATTTGCCCTAGATGATGCCTAAGAAGGTGCCTAGTAGCCTGGGTAACAGGGCGCTCCACTACTATCAAGTCAGACTTGTAGACATGTCGGATTCTTAATCCTGTGTCTGCATCCATGCAATACTTCATTGGCAACTATATATATAATTGTAAATGAAATAATTAATTTGATTTGGTATTGTATATAATTATAAATGGAACTAAATAATAGTGCATAAATATGTGAGGAGACAAATTTTGATTACCCAAATCTTACATCTGTGTAGACAATTTGATTATTTCTAAGAGAAACACAAATTGGAGTGCCCTAATGATAGTTATCCAAGGCCTTGTTTTGACTTATTACTGCTCTATATTTTTTGATATCTCTTCTCAATTTGGACCAGCCCTAATGATAGTTTTTTGTGAACATTATTTTGCTTGAGTTACAAATTCACACCGTCAATCTGCAAGGATCCTATAGAAATGCTATGTAGGCACAATCTTAGTACAATATTCTTATCTATATTAGATTGTTTCTGAGTTCTTCTATTTGATCTCTCGATTGCTTGGGTAAATTCGCAATTGGTACAACTTCTCAACAGGTCCGCCAAAGCCATAAACGACTTCGCATTGTACGCATAGAGACTACGACAGATAACCAGCGAATTGTTGGACTTTTTGTCCCTAATGATGCTGTTGAAACCGTGCTACATGGTGCTCTCTCTCTCTCTCTCTCTCACACACACACACACACACGGTCACACATAAATATGCATATCTCAAATCTAAATGTTCTACCCTAGATCATTTCAATCATACGTTTAACTAGTTTTTCATTAGATGGTTCATACATTCCTTTGGATGTAGATGGCCCAAAAAGAGCAACGTTATTATGACCATGAAACCAGCCTGATGTGTTAGTTTTGTTTTGGATGTAGATTGTCATACAGACATCTAATTAACCAAGTCAATCTTTTAATGTGGCAGATCTAGCATGGGTTCAGGATATTGATGATTAAGAATGGACGACAGGATTTTTTGTCATTTTGGGTGACAGCTTTTATCAAACTTTTGTGGAAGGTCGGCACCACAAATTTATGTTTATGTTATATCCTTTGACAGCCAACAAGCAGTTACAGATCAAGAAAACCAGCTGAAGCCCCATGTAGAGAGAAGGGAAAGAAGAAAAGTGGGTGTTTTTTGCGTTGATAACGTTTTCATTGATAATTGTTTTTTTATTCCATTTTGGCCTATATCTTGTAAATTATCAACATTTGATCGTCAGCAAGAGAAATGTCATATAGATGTACTAGTTGTGATCCTGCTTGAACCGACCTGCACATCCAGTAAATTTTCACTGTAACAGAGCCTCCATTGTAATACAAATTCAAGATGTAATACAACACAACGGCCAGTCTTCTCAAACTTATTGCTTATAACAAATAGTAAAGTCATACAAGCATTCTCCCACACCCACACGCACACGCACACACAAACTATCAAAACATGCCAAAAACAAAATAGAAAGATTAGCAAACGAAAGAAGCATCCACATGATCGTCATGGCAATAAAGCCCAGGTCGCTGAGTGAATCCTTGCCTCTTCAGCATCTCCCTGGCCTTGAACACCAGCTCCCGATTGGTGATTGTGCCATCTGACTCGCTAAGAATGGTCTGGATTGCATTGCTCAGAGCACCATATGCTTCATCAGAATTGCCCGATGGGCTTGCATCCGCAGATGTTTGATCAGTCTGGCAGCCACTAATCAATATGCCACTATCAGTAAGTGTTCTCTTGCTCGCCCCAGCGTAAACTTCATGGCTACTTTGGACTTCCGTTTTCATTGCAGCTTCGGCGTAACCCTCATCATTTTCCTCCAGTTTTTGCTTGAGGAACGCCTGCGCCAGATTCCCAACAAATCCCAGTATCCCACCACCGCTTCCACCTTCACCCTCTCCGCCTTGGAGATTGTTCATGATAACTTTCATGAATTTCTTCACCTTAGGGCTGGCATCCTCCCCAAAGAGGTCAAACAGCGTTGGCCGCAGCTTACCTACATCGATGTCTTCTTTACCTGTCTTCTGTTTCAGCATTTCTATCAGAGTGGAGAGAGGCAGAGATTTGCTCTTAATGCGGTGACCCGGCACGGTGTACCGAGCTTCTTGCTCGGTTTCACTTTCCTCTTCATGACGTCGGTGGTGGTGGTGGAGGTGTATTCCCCGCGACTCAAATGCATCCTCCACCTTCTGATGTAAGAAATCTCTGAAGCCAAAACCAGAACCTGAGTCCGATCTCTCCTCCTCTTGATGCTTGGTGCTCTCGCCAATCTGCTCCTTGGCCTCGTCAATTAGGCCGCCGCTGTGGCATGAATCCGACACAATTGTTATACGACAGCCCTCCGGGACTTTGTCAACGTATTCCCTGAAATCATCATCTGCACACAGAATTGAATCCACATGACACCCGCCCGCATACACAGAAGCCTCAACCTTTCTAGTATCTATGATGCAAGCTACTATGATCAGGACACCCGGACATTCATTATCTATCCCAGTAGATGAGAATTGAGAAGTTACCCATGAAAGATCTTCGATTCTTTATTCTTATAGAATGATAGCACAGATAATAAGAGTAAGAGGTGATCGATACTAAATTCTAAAATCAGGAGTTGGAAACCCAGAGTCAAACGAGAGAGACAGACAGAGAGAAAGAGATCTAGTATGATTGATTGAAATTTGAAAAGCAGTAAATTACTAGTGGCAGTAGTGGCGAAAGAGGAGAAAGAAAACATGATTTACGAGGAAAATTGAGTACCGGTTATGAGGTTCATATCGCAGGGGACAATGCATTCGTCGTAGCCGGTGTCATCGTCCTCGCCGGTCTCGGCAGGGAGACGGGTACCATGGCCGCTGTAATGGACGAAGAGGAAGTCGCCGGGCTCAGCCGATCGGACGAGATCAGAAAAAGCACGTCGGATGTTTTTGCCAGTGGGCTGGGTATATGAGTCATCGGTGTCGATCAAGATAGTGATGTCATCTTCGGAGAAACCGTATCGATCGACGAGGCATCGGAACATCCTCTTCACGTCGTTGATGCATCCATTCAGCTGCGCCTTGGTTCCTGGGTAATTGCATCCGATCAGAAGAGCTCTCTTGGCCATCTCTCTCTCTCTCTCTCTCTCTCTCAATCTCTCTCTGTAACTGGGGAGTAGTAGAGTCAGATCCCGAACGAATGAACGAGTATCAATAAAAGGAAAAACATATCTTCCTCTGGTGAAAGCATCAACCAATTAATGCGGAAAACGGAAATTGAGCGAGCGAATGACCGTCAGCCTCCTCTCACTTCTTTACACGTGTAACTTTTAGCTTTTTTTATTTTTATTTTTCTGGATTAATCGCTGCTTCCGGAGTCCGGACTTGAATCAGGGATGATCATGGCCCGTGCCAGGCTTTGCTTTGCGGTTTGCACCTATGATAAGGCTCGGGCCCGACCTGACCCGGGTCTCATGCCTTAAGCATAAGCTCGGCCGGGCTGGACTGATTTCAGGCCTTAATATTTTATATTGAATAATATATAATAAGTGAGATGGCAAAAGCAACCACCAGTTAGAAACCACCAAGTGGCAGCATGCTAGGGGCAAAGTTGTCAATTGATGAGCTACGAGTTGACCTGGTTCTAATGAGCTGATCTTACACTAACTCATAACATGCACAAGCAACACGTAGCTGAGCTGATCAACACATCAATGCTACTGCACTCCATGTAGGCCCACTGCCTATCACGTGCACACAACGTGTCAATTGAGGGCACGACAAGTGGACTAAGCTCTGACTACTTGTGAGAGACGTGTCAATTCTTGGATGAAGCCCCTCTTCTATAAATAGGTGAGTTTCCCATTCATTTGGACACAACTGTATATGGTAGTATGCTACTATGAATAAGGCACATCAAACACTTCGGCACATAGAGCTCACTAGCTCTCCTCACGAGCCCTCTAGCTCTCTACACGAGCTCTCACCTCATCTGACTAAGCTCTCCAGCTCACCTTACTTTCTATTGGTGTTATTGACTTAATTGTCGGAGTCCACATCCCTAGGATCACCCGAGGCCTTTGACGTCTCTTATGGTTGTAGGTCTCTTAGCAAACAAGGTACCGGGACGAGGTGCTGAGCCAAGGTAACACCCTTCTCCAGCAACTTTTCATGTTTGCCCTTGTGGTCAATTTTGATCCTCATCAATAAGCGTATAAATTTATTTTATACATTTATGTAAAATAGAATATTACATATAATGTATATTAAAAGTGTCATAATATTAATGTATAATATAATATAATATAATATAATATAATATAATATAATATAATATATATATATATAATACATTTATTTAAATATATGAATTGGGTCGGGCCTGGACCAGATCTAAAGTATTAGGCCTAGACATGGCCCTAAAATTTGTGCGCCTGATGTGATGTGGGGCAGGGGGCAGGGCATAGGTTGGGCTGAACACAAAACTTAGGCCCAATTTCTAGGTTGAATCGGGCCAGACCGAGCTAAAATGATCACCCCTAGAGTTGATCAGTCAATCATAATTCCTGTTGTTAATCTGTAATATATGAGTGTTGTAAGTTGTAACCAATGTTTTCTACCCGTTGTTGATTCAAACGGTCGAATCATTTGAAACATTACTTGGTCACGATTTGAAGACTGATTTGCATAGTTGATTTGTCACAGTCTGACCCATTTGCGTAAAAACCGTTTGATCTCTGGACTGAGTTTTAAAACATTGATTATAAGTTATAACAACGAGAGATATCTAATTAGATGGAATGTTTACCGTGGTGGACCTTCTCATGCAACCAACTTGAAGAGTGAGGTCAGGTTAGGGTTAGAGTCATAAAATATATGAGCCCGAAATGCACCCCTACTCGGGGCGGTTTGATAACAGTTAAAGATGCTGAACTGAAAAGTTTATTGCTTTATCCTTGTATAAGTTTTCAAGGAGGTTTTAGGTTTCTTAATAGTTGAATTTAAAATTGAATAGACCACTATACCCTTAAAAATTTTATTATTCAATTATTTGGTCTAACATAAAGTCGAACTACAAAACAAGAAATCTTTCAACTTAGCAACTTCAGCTATAATATATCAAACGGCCCCCGGCCCCTAATTGTGGCTACTTACTTGGGCCTGCATTCACTAGCAATCAGAACATGGCCCACTTAATCCCACACAAAACAATGGCATCCCTCGTGCCAAAAGGATGGAAGCAAGCATCAGAATTCCGTTAATATCTTTACTTATTTTTACAAAATAAAAATCAGGTCAAACACAATTCCCTAGGCAAAAAAATGTTAATAAGAACAAATCTATTATACAGAAAAGACATGGTATATGAAGAGCTTTCTAATTTGTGATGAACAACTGCATTTTAGGCATCCTTTTCAAATTTCATTCAGACCTCACGGTCACTTGCAGCTGTGTATTATGAATATCTCTCCATCAATAAAAATATATAAATACAGACATATTTTAGATTCATTGCTGCAAAAGGTTGTGAGCAGTGTAAAAACCGTTTTATGAGGACTGAATTGGGTAATTGGAATTAATGTAAAACCTTGTATTTTGTATTATTTTATATACATTTAAATTATAGATTTGTATTTATATCTTTTACAAACCGAGCCTAAGGCTCCATTTAGAAGGAATAAAAACATAACTATATAAAGTGTAAAATCTTATATTTTGTATATATTTATATTTGCACTCTTTCCAAAACTCGGTTTGAAAGAATACAAATACAAATATATAGAATATAAAACCTTGCATTTATATTATTTTATATATATTTGTATTTGCATTCCTTCTAAACTGTCTCAGTTTTAATTTAGAAAGAGTATAAATACAAATATGTACAATAAAAATAGGTACAAAATAATAAAAGGATAAGATTTTGCACTCTGCATATTTGTATTCGCACTCCTTCCAAACTTAACCTCACAAGAACTTTGCCAATCAAAGTATAGAGAGAGAGAGAGAGCCGACCTTTAAAAACCAGAAAAAGAATTAAAAAGGCTGACCTTTAAAAAGAGGTAGAAAATGAAGGTGTTTGAAATGTCGGCAATTGCTTTTCTAAAGTTTTTTATTATTATTAGAGATTTAGAGAGAGTAAAGGTAAAGGGGCCAGCATGTCTTCATCATCCAACTCTTGTCCAATTATATGGCCGGGGTAGGTATATTAACTTAATCAGTGTAAGCTTGTCTTCTATTGTTGGTCCCACACCGAATAAAGGAGGTTGTATGAGTTTGGCAGTCGGCATTATAATTTTTGGGTTTTTGTTGATGCTTCCACCTCAAAAATTTTTATGGGTTTGTACAGTTAGAAACATTGATAGTTGAAAGAATTTATCACAATTTAAGGGAGGATATTATAGCATAGGTAGGGTTTGAAACAATAGAAAACCAATAAAATTTTCTGAGGGGAACAAATCATTAATTTTCATAAAACTTGTTGCCATGGATTCATAGTCATGGATCCCGATTTATTATAGCATGTTTCACATATCAAGTTATTAGACCTTGTTTGTGGGTCGGACTTTGTTTCTTTATTAACAGAAAATCACTAGGTTTGAACCCAAGCCCGGTTTGACCATTGGGCCTAGATCTTGAGTCTGAGCCTGACCCTATATAAAGCTCAAAGCCTGATTTTGAAAGGTATTTTATAATATAATAATTATATATCATTAATAATATATTATATATTATTCTATATATTTAATATATAGAATATTTTTTTAATATTAATTTTATTAATATATATTATATATTATTTATTATTAACATATATATTATATTTCTATTATATCATATATATATATATATATATATATATATATAATATTATTGGGTTGGGTTTACTTGGGAGAACTGAGCCTGAGCCCAAGCCCACAGGCTTAAAAATTTACCCAAACCTGATTTAGGATGGGTCAAGCCAGCAGGCCAGCACGTCGGGCTACCCAACCCATGAATGCAACAGGAATTTACTGACAAGAGGGTTTTTTTTTTCTCTTGATGGAAACTGAAATGCGCTACACAAGCCGGGGGGTAGCATGTCCCCACGAGTCTGCAAAACAAATGAGAGACGAATTAGAGGGAAGATTAGAGGGGTCAAGAGAGAGGGAGTCCCCCGAGTTCTCTAGCACTAAATGAGATAAAAGATCTGTCGCTTGATTTGCCTCCCGAAAAGACATGGTGGTAAGAAATCCGCAGGTTGAAAGCATCCACAAGCTCCTTACAACTGGAAATTGTGCTCTTTAAACGGCGGGGGGGAAGTGGACTGCTGAAGACAAGAAATGACCGGCTTCAAGTCGCCTTCGATGATGATGGTAGTGTCTTTGAAGTTAAGAGCAAGATTATGTGCTTCCCAAGCAGCCCAGGCCTTAGCAACGTTGATGGTGGTGCAGTCCAATTTATAACCTTTAATGTCAAGAACATTTCCGGAGAAATCTCTGTCAATGCTTGCAATAGAACAACTTCCATCGACACAGGAGGCGTCGAAATTAATTGTAATGGATCTGATCTTGGGGCTCTTTCAAATAACTTGCTTCCATGATTTGATAGGTTTATCAACTTGCTTAAAATGATTACTACTCCAGAAGTCATTTAAATGATCAAGAGCCCTCTTAATGACCAAATAGAGAGGAATTGAAATATTAGAGAAAGTTTTTTTATTTATGCATTTCCACAAAACCCAAAGCATAAAGGCACTTTTTCCCAAGATTAAATTCTCATCTCTTAATGACCAAAGAGGGAGGAGTTAATTATGCATATCAAACATTTTGACTCTAAAAACCTTGCATTCTAATTAATCAGCTGCTTGATTAGCTTTTCTAGACAAGTGAGTAATAAAATTTTATACTTAATAGTTATTAATAGTTATTTGTAGGATTTACACTTTGGACTTTGATTTTTTTTTTTTTTTTTGGGTTCGATTTGGAATTGACTTTTGCTCCTTTTAGAAAGGAGCATTTCACCCTACATGATGGAAGCATGAAGCCACGTCATCCAAAAGTTCAAAAATTTTCAAAAACAAAGAGGCATAGTATTACCATCCAACATGAATAGGATTAGAATAATTGTTAAATGATATGGTGTGTGATAATTTTGCTAAGACTAAGGGTAAGAGAACAACCAAATCAAGTAAAAATTGGATTGAATCTAGATTCAAATTTGACTCATTTATAGTTGAATTCAAATCTA